GCAAACTCGATCTTGTACACATTGGCCGTATTGATTGTAAATATTTCCACCTTCTTCTGCAGCGCCTTGGTTTGCAGCAAAAACACAATCTGAAACAAGAAGTTCACTACTGTGGAAATTATCTATTTTTATAATTCGTGAACTGTGATTCTGAAATAAAACTCCGTAAACATGATATCTTCCTTCTAAAAGTGAAGAAAGCTTTGAATTAGTTGTATGATTGACTGTTGGCTCAGAGCGGTAATAGTCATTCCAAGCTGCTCTGATAAATAAAAAATTCATTTTAATGTCGAAAAAAAATTAAAAACTGAAATAAAATTGAATCCAAAAGAATAAATTGTTTTCAGGATGTCGTACTGATGAATATTTATAGAATTTGTCATAAAATTTTAAAAAATTTCATAACTTGTTTCAATTTTTGTTTGTAAAATGGAACTTTTTCTTTGCTTGGAAATGGGTTAACTAACAATAAATTTCGATTGCGTTTCAAGTCATTTTTGCTTTAAAATCACTCTTTTTTATGAAAATTAGAAAATGAAATGTGATCGAAATCATTTAAATGATATCAAACTGCATTGTTTTTAGGAAATATCCGAAATATCGACGTCTTTGATGATAACTACGGCAAAATGAGAAACTTATTGTGTCAATAAGGTGATTTGATGTCAATTAGTTGAACATCGTGTTTTCGATATTGTAAAGTTAATAATTTTCTAATTTTAATTCTGAAATGATAAGTTTTCTGATAAAAATTTCAAAAATTGCTTTTTCTGAATTAGATGCAACATTTTGGTGTATTCATATTCGAATTTTTGTTTAAATTATGAATTCGATCAGTTTTGACTGCTTATAAATCAACCTTTTCAAAAAAGCGATGATAATTAATGGACTTGCTCTTGAATTTAACTAAGAAGAAGATGGTGTAAGGTTTCTCATCTGTTTTAGAAGCAAAAACTATCGTATTGTACTTATTTGTGTATCTCGGTATTGACCTGCTTCCCGAGGTATGAACATGAAAGAAAACCAATGCCAGATTGAACTAATTTTATAGAACAACAATGCTGGAATGACGCTCAGTGATTCTCTGTCCCATTGACTTTGGATTTTCTTACAAATAATTTTTTTTTCCTGAGGATTTCACAAAAACTCATATGTGTATGATTGATCTTACTGATTAATATTTTTTAATTTAGTGAGGTCTTTAAATTTGAGACAACTTTCAAAATTTGATCGTACTAAAAATATAGATTGCAATTGTCGTTAAAAACGCATATACCATCAAAGATCAAATTTAAATAAAAAAAAAAAAAAAGGTAGTGGGGCTTCCAGGGGCTGCGCCCCTTCTAGCCCCTAAGAAATTTTGCCCAAGACCCAAGAGGAGGACCGAACCCCAGCCGACCAGCCGTTGACTTTTTTGTAGAGCACTCAAAATAGTATAACTTTGTCCGGACAAGTAAGGGTCTATCGTCGCTACAGGAAAAGTTACAGGCGTTCCACGGAAGTATACTTTGAGAAGCCTTTTCCCCCTTATAGAATGAGATAGGACGGTTATTTTACAAAACTGACAACACTTTGACCGAGTAGTTTTTTGTGCTGAACAAAAAGTGTCATATAAACATCTGTCAAAAACCGCTTTTTAACTTCACTTAAAATGCCACGTAAGCTACGTAAGAATATACGTAAGAGGAAGGGAGCATTGAAACATCCAATAGTAAAACTGACACCACAACAACAGTTGCAACAACAAATGATGAATGACCCCACTATGTTGCAACAAATGTCAAGCAACCCTATGCTTTTAAACCGAGTTCTTGGTGCACAGAGTGGAGGTTTAAGAGCGGCACTTTTAGCGAAAATGGCAGGCTATGGTGGAGCTGCAGACGGAACAGCTTATAACCCTCAAAGTCAAATGAATTTGAGTTCACTCAAAAATCAAATAACAGATGTCAAAAAGTCAAACATAGACATACAGAAACAAATAAGTGAAAACGAAAAGAAACTAGAATATGACAGACACACAAAGAAACTCAATGAGTTAAACGTAGAGAAAAAGAAGAAAGAAGAACAACTGAAAGAACTAAGTACAGAGGAATATGCAAAAAAAGTGTCAGAAAAAGCAGCAGAACTAGCAAAAATGGAACAAGATGTTATAAATTTGAAAAACCATACTACTCAATATAAAGTACTGAAAGATGAAGAGATAAAACAAAAAGCCCTGAAGACATATATGGATAGCGATGAGTATAAAAAAGAAGTTGAAGCAAATGTAAAGGCAGAAAAACTTTTACAGTTGCAAAACCAAACCGTACAGTATGAAAACTTAGCACAAGAAAGTAAAAATAACGACGCAGCCATGCAAAAGGCAATGAAAAGCGCAGAATATATAAAAGCTAATAATGACTGGTTAGATGCCCAAGCCAACGCTAAAGCAGCCCAACTTATAGGGTCAATAAGGACAAAAATACAAGCGGATGAAGACAGTTCAAATGAAGCTTTAATGAATGCTGACTTTAAGAACGCCTTCGAAGCTCTTCATAGTAAGGTGAAACTAGTGAACGACTTCTCATCTGGAAAGAAACTGAAGTCTGAAGGTTTCGACAACGAGTTAAGAGAAGTAGCACAAAATATGACGAAAATAACAGATGCAGCAACGAGACAGGCAGTTCAAAGTGCCTATGACGCCGTTAGAGCAACTGTTGTGGAAAGTCAAGAAAAAGAGTTACAACAGACTAAAACAGACCTAGTAAATGCTTTCTTAAAAACGAAAAGTCAGGTAGGACATTATGCTGCAGATGGAACATATGTGCCAGCTGGTGGAACTTATATACCACCAAACCCTCCAAGAGAAGCACCTGCACCAGGACTACCTAAAACATTTACATCGTCACATGGACACAGACACAGGCATGCACCAAAACCAACACAACAACCAACACAACAACCAACACAACAACCAACAGTTCAAAACACTGCACCACAACCAACAGTTCAAAATCCAGCACCACAACCAACAGTTCAAAATCCAGCACCACAACCACAAACAGAGCAAGGACATAAAAGAAGTAGAGAACAAGGAAACCAAGAATTCTTAAAAATGCTTAAGGAAAATTATGGTTACCCAGATACTCTTGACTTTAGTGACAGATATAAAGAAGCTATTAGAAAGTTCAAGGAAGGAAATACTGACCCGAACCTATTTAGCTTTATGGTTCAGCACCAAATGGGATATAATTTCAAACCTGGAAAATACAAGCTCGCTAAGGGATATGATTTAATAGCATATCATCCAAATGACATGGATGAATTTACTCCGAGATATTTGGTGTCAGAGCTAAATGATAATTCAACTCTCTTCATGAAACGCGTAAAAAATAGAGACGGAACGAAAGAAGAAAGGGTTATGAATGCGGATGGCTTAAATAGGGAACTTGTTAAAAACGGTCTCGGAATATATGAAATGCCAGCAGATGAGGTACAAGAAACTCAACAGGAAGAAGTTCAGATACAACCAGACATGGAAGAAATAGTTCAGCAACAACAGCTAGAAGAGCCTGAAGGAAACGAACAAGTCCCTCCTTTGGAAACTAACTTCACAGAACTAGATGAAGATTTGGAACAGCCGAAAAATCTTGACCCTCAACAAGAGTATGCGGAGAATATGGAATCTTTCCAAGAGTCTAAGAAAAATTCAGCTGACATAGTAGAAGAATATCGAAAAATGTTCGCCGACATACAAAAGACTCCAACATCAGATGAAAATATTCAGCATAGAATGGAAGTACTGAAAGAAAATGTACGCAAATACAACAATCCTTTTTACTTACGACCATATAACGTTCAATCTTTGGCTGAACTCGGTGAAAATAAAAGGTTAAATTTCAACAAAACATATAGAAATGAAACATTGTTTAAAGTTCATTCAGAACCTAACCAATATGGAAACAAACCTACTTTTGTTTCTGCAGACTATGGAACTACAATGAGATGGGGTCATAAAGCTAATCCGGATAGGTGGTTCATAAACTTACAACCACAATTCCAAGAAATTGTAGACGCAATGGAAGTGAATGGTGAACCAGATATAGCTGGTATTTTCAGCGCGGCTTTAATGCCATTGAAAGATATGAAAGATGCAGATATTTTGGACCAGTATGAAATGAACATGGCTGATGGAAATATAACACCTGACGTTCTAGAACATTTATCTCAAAGAACTACACAGAACCATAGAGATGGTATATTTGGTGAAGAGTTTAGAAAGAAAGTTAGGGAGATAGAAGGAAGAGAACCTATTGTACATGACCTTGCAAACGAAAGTTTACAAAATGTCATAAAAACTTACTTTGCAGACAATGAACTGAGAAGGGATGAATATTTAAGAAAACTCAAATGGACAGTACCAAATGAAATGTTAGTATTGAAAAACATGTTCCTTGACAAAATAAAACCAACTACAGAAATAAATGACGCAAGACTGAAACATTGGGTAAAAGCTTTCCCATTCACAAAAGATATTATTGGTAACATGGAAAGAAAACCAGAATGGCTACAAAAACATATATTTGGAAACGAGCTTATTCCATATGGACAAGCTATATTTGAAGAGCTTGAACCGGAAACTCAGGAAAGAGTCATGCAAACAATACGCGAAGACTCAAATACAAACTATGACAAAATCTTTCTAGGATATAGGTTACCTGAGATGGGCGACCAGAGCCCAAAGGCAAAAGGACATGGGAAATTTACAACATACTAGGTGAACATGAGGCAAAGATGCAACAACTTGAAGCAGAGGGCAAGTTACCAAAAGCGACACCAAAGAAGAAGAGAAGAGTAGAACAAAGTGAAAGTAGTGAAGAAGTAACTTCATCTAGTGAAAGTAGTGGCAATGAAGGAAAAAGAAGAGTTAAAAACTCAGTCAGGAAGAAAGTAAAGCTTGGTCCGAGTGGGTTCTATTATGACATATAAATCCAACTATTCTATATTTTTACCCATATGAAATGTACGCCGCTCAGAATATAACGCCAACAGTTTTGGATGCCATGAACGGAAATGTTTCCGAATGGTATAACGAATGCGACAATGCCATTAGAAGGTCAGAAATAGTTCCTGGAACTTACGAATATACAACTGCTGTTTCTTATGGAAACGTAGGTGAGTTTGGAGAAGGTTCTTCAACAACAGTAGATATTGCTTGCGACAGGTTTCATATTATTTCTATTGACAACTCATTCTTATACGTGGAACAAGACATTGAAATAAAACCTTCTGCCAAGTTGTCTGACAAGAAAGGTTGCAATGGAATTTTCTATGTCGGATACCAATATGCTCCAGAAGTTTTCATGGGATATAAGATATATTCTAACTCTGACTTAGTTCAAACAGTAACATGGGCAAACTATGAATGGTTCGCTTTGAGAAACTCAGTACAACCACAAGCTAGAGAACAAACAGACCAGTATGCAAATATTGAGAAAATAAGAAGACTTGACCCTAACGTTCCAGGAGTTTATGTTAACCTTTCTGGTTCAGATGGAACTGCTGCCACTAAAGTAAAACTGAAACTTAGAGTTCCTTTGTCATCTTTCCTCATCTTCAGGTTTTTAAGATACTTGCCAAACTGGGCAGGAAAAATTTCTATTGAACTTACTCCAAGCAAAAATAACTTAGTCATTGCACCAACACAAGACCCATTCACTATTACTGTAGCTGGAACTGGTGGAGCCAAGTTCTGTGACTTTTGCAAAGACAAAGTTGACTTAGACTTTGGTTTCTCAAACTTCAACAATGAAGTAAACTATTATTTCAATGCTGCTGGAACTGCTTGGGACCCAGTTAAGTTTACATGCGAAAAGTTTGAATGCAAGAGAATAGAAAGCAGACTTGCAGTCTATATGTTGGACCCAGATATTTCAAATGCTTTAGCTGCCAAATATATTGCAGTTCCACTTATGTTCCCTATACACCAAATCTGTCAAAGACTTTGCAGGTGAAGTTGGAAACCAAAGTGCTGACCCAGGTGCAAGAACAGATATTGCTTTAACAACTGCAATGAAACATGCAGATACTATGTTTGTACTGTTCAGACGAACTATAAATGACTATTCTTGTTTCTACAACCCCGGTATTAAATATCATATAAACATAGATGGCAAATATTATCCAAGAGAAGAATATTCTACAGTTGAGGATATGAGGTCATACAACTTGACATTAGATGCTATGAACTTTAACAACAACTTCACAACAACCATTAACCCTGAAATGCAAAGTTCTATTATGCCATATGTGAAAGTATGGACTCATACAGGAGGTCAAAAAACTCAATATACAAATGGAGACCGTTCAAACTTTTGGCTTGGCATTCCATTTGCTGACTCAGAAGACTTTATGGGTGGTATTTCAACTGTTGGTACTGTACAAATACAATATACTGGTGACAGAGACGGTCCAGATGAACTGAGAGCAAAGAAGTTTACAAAACCAATAGCACTTTTCACGGAAGATGCTCTTTTGAAGATTCGTTCGATGAAACCTGCTGGGGCTCCTCAGATTGGCATAACGACAGCTTCCATCGAGCAGATTTTGGCAGCAGGTCAGTAAGTTGTCCTTGAACTGACTTCTCTCCGTCAAATGTTGACAGTACGCCAGTTTTGACATAATATTGTAAGATAAACTTACCTTTAGAAATATCTGTAAGTTTTGAAGTTATATTTTTGTCTGCTTCAAGAACTTTCACCATTTCAGTTATACCAACTTTCTTTGCTTTATGGAAATATTTAGGTTCAGCAAATATTGCTATTCTATAACATTTACCATTGTTTGTATAAAGAACTATTCTGTCAATGTATTTGTATTGTTTGTGTGTGTAAACTTTGTTCTGCTTCAATTCGAAGAGATACTCGAATACGTCCATCTTTTTATTCTAAGTAAAATGTCATTTCCGAAAAATAGAAGCGTGAGTGTTTCAAAAGGTTTAATGGCGGTGGCAGATGTGAAGTTAAATTCACCAACTCAAACAAACAGTCAAAGTGTTGTTGTCAATGTCAAAGACAGAGATGTTGAAGGGGGAAACCATACGAAGACAAAGATGGTATAACAATTGTTCCTGTAAAAGAACCAACATATCCTGAAGTTAGCAGAGACTTAAGTTCTGTTGCAGATATTCGAAACGACTACCAACAACTGAAAGACAAACTTCAAACTCAGGAGAAGATTTGTCAAGCTTTAAGTATAATGTTAAACTTGGTCGAACACAACCCTGTAAAAGTGAACTCATATGTCATTGCACCTCATGAAGTTTTGAAAGAACTATTGAAACTTTTGACAGAGGCAGCAGACGATATAAACATCAATGAAATAGAACCCGACATTAGTTGCTGTGGTGTTCATATAATGTCATTGACAAGATATACGTTATGAAAGGAGGTGAAACGTTGAACTTAAAGTATAGTTTCCCAGACGTCATAAAAATATTTGACGACCACAACATTTCCTTAAAATTTATTTGCTAAGTAAAAATGTCAAAACTTCTTGAAAGATGTTTGAAGAAAAATAATATAGACTTTATTTCATGTAAAGGACTTTACACACTTTTGAACGATATGAAAGACCCTGTTTTGTTTGTTCGTGTAGACAAAGGAAAGTTCTATGTCTTTACAAAATATTTGAACTTCTTAGACAGAGAACTTCAAGAAACGCCATGTGAAAGTTTAGATGAAGTTCTTCTCCACTTTCAGAAAAACTTTTAAATATATATAAATGGCAGAAGATATAATGGTTTATACTATTACGACTAAAAACCCTGAGTCATATAATTCTATAACAACAAACTTACAAAGTCCTCAAGGACGATATTGTAAACTAACCTTAAACACAATGACGACTAAAGCCTGTTTTGCTCTTTTGACACCAGAAGACTTTATTGTTGTGAATGGTAAAAAATACTCCTTTGAAGATACTTACTCAGATATACCACCAACAGGTTTTGTTGACTTATTTAATACTTTAAGTACGGGTGTAACATGTGCTGCAACTAGAGCAGGTTTCATTATGTTTGGATGTCCGACTGAGTTAGTTAGTATACAAGTCTCGTGTACGGAGGCACTGCGTTCCTCCGTACGCAATACTTGTGAATTTGACACTTTACAAAACCGTTAACGTATATTTTACAACACAAACACAAACACCAACTTAACCTTAAATATTTATAAAGCCGCCAACCACTTCACCTCACTAATGTAAAAAATAAACGTTCTCACTTACAAAAGTATTGCAACTCCTCCCATTGCTGTGCTTCACATAACAGTTCATATTCTTCTGACTCACTTTCTTCTTCATATAGGTCAAAGTTACTGTCAAAATAAATGTTAGTAAGTTTTGACAAAGCTAATGAAACACGTTTACCGTTTGTATCGTATGCTTGTATAAACTTTCCATTCTTCATTCCTTCATAAATGCTTAAACTAACTTTACCCTTTCTCCCTCGTATCTGATAGAATGTATTTTCACGAGGAACAAAGAACAAATTCTTGAACTCATGACCGTTGTAGTTTGTTATCTCAATAGTTTTCGTCATTTATATAAAAATAAAATAAAAAATAAACTTAAAAATAAACGTTGTCAGAGGTGAAAAAATAAATTTAGGTGAAGTGGTGAGATCTCACCTCTTTTTTCACCTAGCCGCTTTGCGGCTCTGACCCTTTGGGTCTCTTTTTTCACCCGTTGAATTCATTACTTTATAACTCTCTTCCTTTCTCCAACTCTTCTAACTTCTTCTTAAGTTCAGCAATGTTGTCCTCATGAAGTTTAATCTTTCTCAAAATACCTTCTCTATCTAATGGTTGCTTTATCTTTCTAAACTGAACTCTACCATCCTTCATAGTATGAACGTAAAAACCTTCTGGAACCGCTCCTGATTTAATGTATTCTACCAAAAACTTTTGTTTCATTGCTTCAGTGACTTTAGTCGTCATTTCAATCAAATAAAAATTTTAATATTAAATAAAAATAACGTTATTTTTCAGTAAGGAAACGCAGGAGTTTTACGATTTATTTGAGGAGTAGGTTCTGGTTTAAATGTTGGAGTCGGTTTAGGAGTTGACTTTTGAACAGGAGTTTGTACTTCCATAGGTTCAGGAGTTATTGAAGGTTTGCTTGTGAAGGCGTTGGTTTTGGCGAAGGTGTTGGAGTTTGTTTAACTTCAGCTACTTCAGTATTATTTATAACATTTGCTTTATTTCTTTTCAACATCATACTGCTCCTGCTGTAGCTAGCAAACCTAGTGGGAGACCATATTTTATATAAGGACTTGACCAAATGCTATTTTTGACAGGAGCTGGTGGAACACCTAACCTTGGTGAGACTGCTCTTTGCCATTGTGCAGCTCGTAAGAAATATTCAATGGGTGCTCCATAATCGTTTGGTAAAGTTTGTTTCATAGATGGTGAAGGTTCACGAGAGCTTGATGAAGAACTCATTTATAAGCTTTAAAAATAAACGTTCATCCTTTATTCCTCACTGTCGTCCGTGGCTAAGTTATAGTCGTCTAATCTTATTATGGATGCCTAGACGCACCTTGAATGCAAAGCAACAATCCCTCATAAATCCAATAAGTGGCTTTGGTACGTTTTCAGTTGCTAGTTCAATAGGTCCTTTAACAGACAATTTGTATGTTATTGGAGCAGTAGATGTTTGACCTTGTTGGAAGCAAAAGTCCACTTCTGTTGGAAAACCACATAAGAAATGTGTGTTGTCATAGCTATCCCATTTATGTTCCACACTACCATCATCCACCAATGACCTCATAACATCTTCATTAAATCCTATCATATCATTGTTTGTATTGCAGCGTTCGCAACCATTTCATAAAATACAGGTCCATATGATTTTTCAGGTTCTGCAGGCATATTTCCATAAGCTCCCATGGAAAGCTGAAGATATTTAAACTTAGGGTTCTCAAAATTAACATAATAGTTGTCTTTCTTTCTAAATAGTGCCCAAATACTTTTAACATTAATAGGCGTATAAGCTGCTGTAAATGTTGCACTTGAACTATCTGTATTCTTTGAGAATGAACCGTCCATAGGAATCCAATCCATAACTTTAACAGGAAAACATAAAGCCTCGTTTGTATAATGTTCTACAAGTTCTGTATAAATGTTAGGGTCTAAAGAGAATGACTTTGGATGAATGAAACATTCATTAAAATCCATCTTTGTTCGAAATAGTTGCTGGGTTTACAGTTGTAATAGTAACTGTTCCACTAGCTTCTACTGCCTTCGTTATCATAGTGAATGGTTCATTCCATGGAACAAATTTATTTGTCGGTGGATTTGAATCTGAAGCAAATGCAACTTTAAGAGTTGGATTGAAAGCAATGATATCATTTACAGATATAGATGTGCATTGTAAGGCGTCGCTACTGAACTTTACTTTAAGCTGAATGTTTCCTGCAAAAGCTGGAATAAATCTATAGCTTCTAATGGAAGGAATCTTCTAACAGGAATTCTTAAACGAAGCTTAAAATCAAATGATTTTCCTGCTGTAATTGGACCACTAACAATTTGTCCTGTTCTGCATGTTCCCGAATGACTCCATACATCTTCATGTCGAGTCTTTGAAAAAACATCTACTTTCTTTATTTGTTCGGTAGTTTGTGAGTTTGAAGTTATATATGCTTCTTCTCTTGCGTTGTCTTGAGAATATACGATACGACCATTTGCAAGGATTTGATATCCAGCAACTGCATAGAAAGCGTCATCGAAACCAATCCAAAATCCTGGTGGGTTTGTTTTATTGGAACCTGAACCAATTTCTTTATCTACAATAAATTGACCTTCCATTTTATACGTAATGAATGTATTGTAAAGGTCCAACATATTTTCACCAGGAGGTGAGAGATTGAATGTTACCCATGTGTTATCTTTAGCAGTTCCAGGTTGTGATGGAATCTTGCGTCAGAATATTTTCTA